ATATATATCTTGCTGGTCTAGAACTCACTGTGTAGACCAGGCTGCCCTAGAATTCAGAAAAATCTGCCTGCTTTTGCCTCCTGAGTGCTGGGATTAAAGGCTTGTGCCACCACCCTGGCCTCCCCACCCCCACTCCCACCTCACCCCATTTATTGAGAGGCACTGACAACTGCTTCAATTGTACCTTCCTTGTCAGTTTTTAGACCGCTTTTATCATTCAATGGCTTATCTGTCTTTGTTTTCCTCTGGCTCTTCCTGTGTTTTGATTCCTTGAATTTTCTTCTGTTTAGTTTGATGAGTAACAGGTGGCGTTTACCCCTACTACACTCTTTCCCACTTTATCTCGAAACAGATTTCCGTGGTGTATAGGACACTCTGATCTAGCTGACACCCCTCTCAAATGCTTGAAGCTCTCACTCTCTAGAGGTGCATGGTGGGACATGGGTGATGCTGAGGAGGCCAGGGGTTAAATTTATTTTTATAAAATTGCGTTTGTTTCTCAGTTTCTCTCATACCCCAGCTATTACCCAAATAATTGAAACTCTGTTATATTATTTGTTTAATAAGCTTCATGGTGCAGCAACTGAGCAGTTTTAATCTGTTCTCAACCCTCTAAGCTGGTACACCCCGATATACTTACGCTTTCCGGCCCTCCCCGCTCAGCAGTGCTGTTGATTATAATAGAGTTGAAAACGCCCTGTCTCCTAGACAGTGGGGGTTAAAGGCCTGCACCACCATGGCACAGCTTCTCCTTTTATATTTTTATTTGCATGTGTTTATGTGAATGTGTGTGCATACATATGTGGAGGCCAGAGGTTGATACTCAGTGTCATTTTAACACTTTTACCTAAAAAAAAAAAAATGATCTTGACATTGGTCAATTGACCATCTGTAAATACATATGAAATTAATTGATGGTCTGAAGATGAGAGACTAGCACATTAGAAGGCCTGGAGTGGTGCCTAACCCCCAGAATGCTACTCCTTCATAAGCTTCTGGGTATTTACTCTCTCTTTCTCTCTTTCTCTCTTTCTTTCTTTCTTTCTTTCTTTCTTTCTTTCTTTCTTTCTTTCTTTCT